GAAGGAGAAGAAAGGGGGGGGGAGCAGAAGAGAAGGGAGAGAACCCAAACATCCGACGTCTCGATTTTTTCGAGACACGGGCCCCCGACCTCACGACCACTTCCCCATGACTCGGTTTTCATCGCGAGTCGTTGTTTGACGGTTCCGAGGCCCGGCGAGGGCCCGGGGGCCGAAAACGCAGAAAAAAACTCGGTCTCGATATTTTCGAGACGCCCACTGTCTGGGGAGGAAGGAGGGGGAGCAAAGAGGGAGGAGAGGAGGATCGGCTGGAAGTTCAACATCGGGGGAAAATCAGCACTGGAGGGGTCGGGATGCAGGAGCGTCCCCAACATGGGCCTTTCCCTAGCCCCGCATGGTGCTGGCGAGGGTGCCCATGTCGTCACCTCCCGTGTGTTTCCACACACACACACACACACACACACACACACACACACACACACGCTACCTTCCGGATGGATGGGGGAGGAAGGAGAAAGAAAGACAGGAGGAAGGAGGGAGGCCCCTTCTGCTGAATTCCTCCCCCCTCCTTCTCCTCCTGCTCCTCCTCCTCATCCGCATCCTCATCCTCATCCTCATCTTCATCCTCATCCTCATCCTCATCCTCATACTAATACTCATCATCATCATCATCATCATCATCATCATCATCATCATCATCATCATCATCATCATCATCACCATCATCATCATCATCGTCATCATCATCAGAATCCTCATCCTCATCCTCATCCTCATCCTCATCCTCATCCTCCTCTTGGTCCTTATCCTCCTCTTGAACCTCATCCTCCTCTTCCTCCACTTCCTCCTCCTAACCCAATTCCTTGGCCTCCTGCTCATCACCAACATCATCATCAGAATCGGAATCGGCAGCATCACGATCATCATCATCATCATCATCATCAACAGCAGCAGCATAACCAGCATCATCTTCATCATCATCATCATTATCATCAGCAGCAGCATCACCATCGTCATCATAATCAGCATCAGCAGCATCATCACCAACATCATCATCCTCATCATCAGCATCATCATCAGTATCAACATCATCACCTCCTCCATTCTCGTCCTCATCATCATCTTCATCCTGCTTCCTATTCCTCATTCTCTTCCCGTGTGTCCTTCCCATGCCCATCACAGTCACCACCACCATATGGGAGATATACGCTGTACTGTGCAGGCACGAGCGGGGGTACGAAGGGCCTCCGTCCGATCGCACGTTGGCCCAAGCCTTTTCAGGGCCCTTGAGTCACCAGCGCAGCGGTGTGAAAACATCCAAATGGCTTTCGTTATTATTTTCGTATTTCCATCAGAGACTTCGAGGGTTTTGATAAGTTCATACCATCCCTCTCGCCATCAGCGCAACATCATCATGTCCCCCATCATCGACTGGCCAGAATCATCATGACAATCAGCATCCTCATCCTCAACCGACTCATCATCCTCGTCATCATCATCACCACCATTACCATCATCGCCATCGTCACAACCATCATGAGTCAGCCGTCCATTCATACATACTGCAACCCTCTCCTGATCCCCATCATCACCACCACAACCACCATCATGATCATCATCAGTATCACCAGCATCATCAGCATCATCATAATCAGCATCATCATCATCAGCAGCATCATCAACATCAGCATCACCATCATCACCACCATCACCACCACCACCACCACCATCAACATCATCATCACTAGCATCAGCATCGTCATCATCATCATCAATTTCAGCATCATTAGCATCGTCACCATCATCACCACCAGCACTACCACCACCCGGATCATCCCCAGCGGCAACAACAACAACAGCATCATCATCATTATCATCATTCTCATCCACATCACTATCTGCATCAGCCGCTTCATCGTCATTACAACCAGAAAATGATCGTCGTGGACAGAATCACCGTGTGACTACTTATCGCCGTCGTCATCATATTCATCGTACCTTGAATGAACAATAATCGTCATCAGCCTTACCCTCATCACCTCTATCACCATACCTATAATCCTCACCATCTTCAGACCTGCCATCACCCTTGAATACCATCATCATCCGCAACATCATCAGCAGCACCAGCACCGACATCACTCGTCCGTACATCCACCCGCCATGCCCCCTCCACCTCCTGCTCGTCATCAGCTCCACCCTCATCCTTCCCTCATCAGCAACATCATACCACCATCAAAATCATCACAATCCTCATCCTCATCTACCTCGCCATCGTCAACATCGTCGCTCATCCACGTACTCATCGCCCTCATCACTCGCTCATCCATCAACCATACCTCCCCCCTCATCCTCATCCGCCTGTTCATCCAATTCGAATCCCCCGTCCCCCTCTCATCAAGATCAGCATAACCCTCACCATCATCCACAGCATCAGCATGATAACCCGCCTCGTTGTCATCAGCATCGTCATCAGCCTCATCACCATCGCCATCAACATCGTCAACAGCATCATCATCATCACCATCATCATCAGTCGCAGCATCATCATCATCAGCAGCATCATCATCAGCATCATCACCACCGTCGTCGTCACCATCATCCTTAATACCAGCACAATCATCGCCATCATCACCATTTGTGAGGGACCAGGAGATGGGGAGTGGACATCCTGGCAACCACACGACGGAATAAAACACGCATGGACGCGGAGCGTATCTCGAATAATGCGGACAACCGCAAATATGAGACGGGCCCACTCGATCTCATCACCGCAGCCGTCATCTTCACCGTCGTCGTCGTCGTCATCGTCACCACCAGCACCACCAGCGCCATCATCACCATGAGTAGCATCACCAGAAGCAGCATCATTATCATCGTCATCGTCCTCGCCGCCGCCAGCATCATCAGAACGACAACCTCATCGGCAGCAGCAACATCATCGCCACCGCCGCCGCCGCCGCCGTCGTCGTCATCATCAGCATCATCATCATCAGCAGCATCATCATCATCATCAGCAACAGCAGCATCATCAGCATCAGCACACCACCATCATCATCACCACCACCACCATCAGTGTCAGCATCGTCGTCGTTTTCGTCATCCGCATCATCAGCACCTTCAGCATAAGCATCGTCATCAGCATCATCAGCATCCCCATCATCTGCAACATCAGCATCCTCAGCATGTACCACATCATCATCAGCAGCAGCAGCACCACCAGCAATCACAGCACCATTATCCTCAGCGACATCATCATCATCAGCATCAGCATCAGCATCATTATCATCAGCAGCAGCAGCAGTATCAGCATCATCATCGGCATCATCATCATCACCATCATCAGCATCATCATCATCATCCTCATCAGCAACAGCAGCATCATCAGCATCATGAGCATCGTCGTCGTCATCAACATCATTATTTTCAACATCATCATCGCCATCATCATCATCATCATCAGCATCATCATCATCATCATCATCGCCGTAGTCGTCATGATCGCCATCACCACCACCACCATCACCACCATCATCATCACCAGCAACAGCAGCATCATCAGCATCAGCATCATCACCATCACCATCAGCAGCAACAACATCATCATCATCAGCATCATCATCATGATCATCAGCAGCATCATCATCGTCACCAGAATCGTCATCGTAAGCAGCAGCACCAGCATCAGCATCATCATCAGCAGTAGCATCATCAGCATCACCACCATCAGCATCAACAGCATCAACATCATAACAAGCATAAGCATTGTCAGCATAAGCATCATTAGCAGCATCACCAGCCTCATCATCACCAGCCGCATCATCATCTTCATCATCACCATCATCATAATCATCATCATCATCATCATCATCATCAGCATCACCATCATCATCATCACCACCACCACCACCATCAGCAGCAGCAGCATCAGCATCAGCATCATCACCATCAGCAGCAGAAGCAACATCACTAGCAACATCATCAGCAGCTGCATCAGCATCACCCCGTCCTCCTGCCTCTCCCCTCCTCCCTCCTGCCTCCTCATGCTCCTCTGGCTCGCTCCGCACCGCCGCCTGCAGGGGCGTGCCTGGCCCAGACCAGCTCGAGGCAGGGGCACCCCGCTCGATGGCGCTCTGCACCTGGTCGCGGGAGCGGGCAGGAGGAGGAGCCACAGCACCACCTGGGAGAACGGGGGAAAAGGGGATGAGGAGGAGGAAACGTGGGACCGGGAGGAGGAGGAGGAGGAGGAGGAGGAGGAGGAGGAGGAGGAGGAGAAGGAGGAGGAGGAGGAGGAGGAGGAGGGGGAGGGGGAGGGGGAAGGGGAGGGAGAAGAGGCAGAGCAGGAGCAAGAGGAGCAGGAGGAGAGGGAGAATCGCCGTGTACCTTTCACCTGTCACCTTGAATCATCCTCTCCGAACTGACGGCGACTCCTGAAATGAATGCTCCTGAAATCGCTTGGCTTTAGTTTGATCAACCCCCAAAGGGCTGACCGGCCACGGGGGAGGGGGAGGGCGGCGTCTGCCAGACTCTAGCGCCTTCATTTCGGCAGTTCGGCATGAGGAGGAGGAAGAAGCGGAGGCTTAGGAAGACGAGAACGGAAAAGGAGGACGAGGAAGAGTGAGGACAGGAGAGGGGCAGGAGGGGAGGGGGAGGAGCGCATGCCGCTGCGGAAGCAGCGCGCCCTCTGGCCCAATATGCGAGATCAAGCGGCTCGCAGGCATCTCCTGTTGTGCTCGGACGAGATCCCTGGCGCGCTTTCGGTCTTCCAGGTGGACATACTAGTGATATGTCCTCCTCGGAAGCGCGCATCCGACCCGAACATGTAGTACGAGCATGAGCATCTTGTAGCATCTTTTCCCAAGCGGTATGGCCAGAAAGCGCGCGCCAAGGAGCTCATACTATCAGATTTCTCGGCGCGCAAGTCGCCCCGGTCGCCCCTGAGGGGGGGGGGGGGGGGGGACGCGCACATCGTATATAGAAGAATTCTGGAGTGACGCCGGGAGAAATAGGCAAGCCCCTGCGGCGTGCGAAAAAGCGAATCATCCTACTCCGCCGCATCGAACGCCCCGAGACCCGGCCGCTCGATAGGAACCAGATTGGGCATGTGCCACTGCTGGGAGGCGACCCCACCGCGCCCTCTCGCAGACCGTGTGGTCTGTGCCGAGGAGGAGGAGCAGGAGGAGGAGGGGCAGGAAGAGGAGAAGAAGGAGGAGTGGGACAGCTGGGGCAGCCTAACGCGCGCTCCGAGACGCCCGGGACCGGGAAGACCAAGAGATACCGATACCGCCACTCCCGAGACTTCTCCCGGGTTGTGTGGCTCCCATCGTGCTTTGACACCACGTGCCAGAAGTAATTTCGAGCACCCAGACAAGTATCGAAATTACCCCAGTGCGACCCTACCTAGAAGTTGGAGCCACTAGGAAAGCAGCATTAGTTGCTATGCTATGCTATGCTGTGCTATGCTATGCTATGCTATGCTATGCCATGCTAGGCTGCGCTATGCTATGCTGTGCTATGCTATGTTATGATATGCTATGTTATGCTGCGCTATGCCATGATATGCTATGCTATGCTATGCTAAGCTATGCTATATCGTGCTGCGGTGTGCTATGATAAGCTATGTTATGCTGTGCTACGCTATGCTAAGCTGCGCTATGTTATGATATGGTATGTTACGACATGAAATGATATGCTATGCTATGATATGATGTGCTGCGCTATGCTATGCTAAGCTAAGCTAAGCTCAGCTAAGGTAATCCTCTAGGCAGAGCCTAGGTAGGGAATTACATCCATGCTAATTACCCGAACAGAAAGCTAAACTGGCAACGCGGTTGGCACTCACGAGCGCCACGAAATACACCCACAGATCCGGGGCAGGAGGACCAGGAGCTGGATGACGGAGAGGATGACGAGGAGGAGCAGGTGGCAGCGGCGGCAGTGGCGGCAAGCAACGCAAAGCTAAGGGGACGTAACTGGGGGAACCGCGGGGCGGATACTGGGGGAACCGCCCGGGGCGCTTTCCACTGCCCGGCCCCTTTAAGCCCAGAGAGTAAGAACCCTTCTAGGCAGAGCCTAGGTAGGGAACAGTGTCTGCCCGACACTCTAGCGAAGTGTCGAACGAGCATCGCCTCCCACGGCCTGCCACGTCAAAACCCTTGCAGTTTCGGTACTTTCTTGGCGCTCGAAATTCTTGCTGGTGGTCCAGCCTAAAGTAGGTTGGAACATCATGACTTCTGGGGTGCGCTCTGACCAGAAGTTGAAGGCGAGTCTAGCCGTGGCGGCGAGGGCCTCCCACGAGGCCCAGAGCAACGAAAGCGAGGCAAGGGCAGCGTGATCACTACCTATTTCCCCCTGCGAGGGACAGCACTACCCGCCCGTCGGGAGAAGTAGGTAGAGACAGAAACACAAAAAGAGATCCACTCTTGGAGAAGGAAGGCGGTGGAAGCAGATTGGGATTTGGATTTCCACGAATACCTCATTTCAACGACTGGCGTGCAGTCTGGAAGGAGGGGCCCAGCCCCCCGAGAGGACACGCGCGACGGACCAACGGGAGCGGCAAGGGGAGACAAGCGAGAACAGGTCACTGAGCATCGCTTATCCGACCGGGCGCCGCTGATCTCCAGAGACCACCACGATGGACACAACAACCCCCCAGAAAGCCCTGAGCATTTTCGAGCCCTTCCCGCTCCCGTCCCCCGTTCTACCTCCCGTCTGCTTCTTCTCGTCCTCCTTCCAACGTTCCCGGCTTTCATCGTCGCCGCCTTCCCCCATCTCCCCACGCCCCTTCCCCACACCATTGGGAGTGGCTGCTCGGCGCCGCTGGAGCAGCGCAGCGGCGGCGGCGGCCAGCGCGGCGGCGGCGGCAACGGCGGCAGCGGCCGCGGCGGCGCCGGCGGGCGCGGCGGCGTTGCGACCTCCCGCAGGTCGGCGCAGCGGCGACGGCGGCCAGCACGGCGGCAGCGGCGGCAGCGGCGGCAGCGGAGGCGGCGGCGGCTGTAGTGGCGGCAGCGGCAGCAGCGGCGGCGTCGGGCGACGGACAAGGCGGCCAGCGCCGCGGCGGCGGCGGCGGCGGCGGCGAACAAGGCGGCCAGCGCGGCGGCGGCGGCGGGGGCGGCAGCAGCGGCGGCGGGGCCTCCTGCAGCGCGCGCTCGCGCGCCTTCCGCAGAGCGCTACCGCCCCGCGGCAGGCCGCCCTGCCTGGGTCGGCCGCGCCGCTCGGCGTGGCGGCGGCGGCGGCGGGGGGCAGGAGGAGGAGCTCGGGGCTCGGGCTTGGGGCTCGGGCTCGGGATCGGGTTCCGGCTCGGGCGTCGGCTCGGGCTACAACCCCGAGTGCAGGCCCGAGCCCGAGCTCGAGCCCGAGCTCGAGCCCGAGCCCGAGGGGAGGGGGGAAGGCGGGGCTGCGCCCGTCTTGGTGCCGAAGCCCGCAGCGTCTGCAGCGTCCAGGGGGGAGTGGGGGAGCGGCCTTTCGGGCGGCGGCGGCGGCGGCGGTATCGGCATCGGCGGCCGCAGGAGGAGGTGGCAGGAGGAAGTGAGCAGGAGGCGGGTGGCAGGAGAAAGGAGAGGGGGGCGGGAAGACGTAGGACCGATGGTGCAGGAGGGAGAACAGATGGAGGACGGAGCAGTGACGATGGACGAGGACCAGGGGGGAGGCGGCGGCGGTGGCGGTGGATAGAGAAGGTTAGGGTGCAAGCAAGATCCTGCTCAGATCATGGTATCATCGTTTGGGAGCATTTCAAATACGCAAGACACCATTGCGAAGCCAGAGCTGGCAGGAGGAAGAAAGGAGCAATGAGGAAGAAATAAGGAATAATAAGGAGAAGAAGAAGAAGAAGAAGAAGAAGAATGAGAAGAAGAAGAAGAAGAAGAATAAGAAAAAGAGGCGAGGAAGGAAGAGGGAGGAGGGAGGAGTGGGAAGGGAAGATGGAGGGAGGGGGAAGAAGGACAGAGCAGGAGCAGTAGGAATTCTACGACCAAGCCCCAACACGGTCAACTCAAACAGGATGAGGGCGACGAGGACGAGAAATACAAGGAGGGTGGGGAAGCAGGAGTCGGAGGAAGGGGGCAGACGAGGACGATGAGAGGAGGGCGAGAAGAAGAGCTGGAAGTCGAGGAGGAAGAGGCGGACAAACGCGGACGCCGACGCAGACGCCGACGCGGACGCGGACACCTCCGCCGCCGCCGCCGCCGACGCCGACGACGACTCCGACGCCGACGCCGACGCCGACGCCGACGCAAACGCCGACGCCGACGCCGACGCCGACGCTGAAGCCGACGCCGACGCCGACGCCGACGCCGACGACGACGACGACGACGCCGACGCCGGCGCCGCCGCCGACGCCGACAACGACGACGACGACGACGACGACGACGACGACGACGCCGATGCCGAAGCCGACGCCGACGCCGACGCCGACGCCGACGCCGACGACGACGACGACGACGCCGACAGGCCCGGGGCCGCCTGCACAGCGGCGCCGCCAGCCCGTACAGGTCCGGAAGAGCCCTGCCCCGCGACGAGGCGCCAGGCGAGGTGGGGCGGCCGCCTCGTCGCCCGCCGCCCTAGGCCCTCCCTCCGCCTCCTCGTGCTCTCGTCCTTCTCCTCCTCCTCCTCCTCCTCCTCCCTCCTCCTCCTCCTCCTCCTCCTCCTCCTCCTCCTCCACCTCCTCCTCCTGTTTTTCTAATTATTAGTACTATTCATATTACTAGTACTATTATCAGTATTACTATTAATCGCAATGTTAGTACTAGTACTATTAGTAGTAGTAGCATTGATATTATCAGTCGTATTCGTAGTATTAGTATGAGTATTGTTATTAGTATTGCCATTATTAGTATTACTGTTCATAACATTATTACTACTACTACGACTACGGCTAAGACTACGACTACGACTACGACTACGACTACTACTACTACTACTACTACTACTACTACTACTACTACTACTACTACGACTACTACGACTACTACGACTACTACTACTACTACTACTACTACTACTACTACTACTACTACTACTACTACTATATTAGTAGAAGTAGTAGTAGTAGTTGCTACTACTATATTAGTAGAAGTAGTAGTAGTTGTTGTTGTAGTAGTAGTAGAAGAAGAATGTACATTCTTATTCGTATTGCTAGTGTTATTATGATTGTTATTACTAGTCTTATTAGTATTATTATTATGCATAGTTTTGATATTGGCATGATTACTATCATTCGTATTATTAAAAGGTTTCCAAATCATCATAATCATCATCATCATCATCATCATTATCAATATTATTTTCTGAGTCGCATTATCAGTATGAGTAGTATCAATAGTAGTAGTAGCATTGTTCACAATATTAGTAGTAGCATTGTTATTCGGAATTCTAACAATATTAGTACTCTTCGCATTAGCATTCGCAATCCTATTCTTACGATTAGTCGTAGTACTATTATTAGCCGTATTGCTATTATTCTTTTCAATCATAGTATGAGTCCTGTTGCTCATAGTATTCGTAGTCCCTGTCATTTAAAATAGTATTAGTATTAGTACCAATCGTCTTCTCAGTAGTATTACTATTATTATTACTCGCAGTGTTGTTTTCTTATTGAACATATTCCTTTTTCTTACTATTATTATCATTAATACTATTCCTCCTCCTCCTCCTGCTCTTCCTCCTCCTCCTCCTCCTCCTGTTCCTGCTCCTGCTCCTGCTCCTGCTCCTGCTCCTCCTCCTCCTCCTCCTCCTCCTCCTCCTCCTCCTCGTCCTCCTCCTCCTCCTCCTGCTCCTCCTCCTCCTCTTCCTCCTCCTCCTCCTCCTCTTCCTCCTCCTCCTCCTCCCTGCCTCCTGCTCCTCCCTTTTCTCCTCCTCCTCCCCTCTCCCTCCTCCTCCTCCTCCTCCTCTCCTCTCCTCCTCCTACCATCTCCTCCTCCTCCTCATCCTCCTCCTCCTCCTCCATCCTTCCTTCTCCTCTACTCTCCGCTCCTCCTCCTCCTCCTCATCCTCCCCTCCTCACTCCTCATCCTGCCATCCTCCTCCCCTCCTCCTCCTCCTCCTCCTCCCTACTACTCCTCCTCCTCCCTCCTCCTCCTCCTCCTCCTCCTCCTCCTCCCCCCTCCCCTCCTCCTCCTCCCCCTCCCCCTCCCCTCCCCACTCTCCCCCTCCTCCTCTCCTCCTCCTCCTCCTCCACCTCCTCCTCCTCCTCCTCCTCCTCCTCCTCCTCCTCCTCCTCCTCATCCTCTTCCTCCTCCTCCTCCGTCTCCTCGTGCTCTCCAGGGGGAGAGAGGTTTGAAGTTCGAGGCAGAAACAGAAACAGAGGCGTGCCGTGTCCGGCGAAGACGGCCGACCCGCACGGGGCAAGGCGCGGGGGCCGCAGCCCCTCACATGTCATCCTTCTTCTGGGCGAAATCAAATCCAAATGCTCCCCAATCTCCTGCAAAATTGTACCATGATTCGTGGACTCCTTTTGACAATAATCAACTTCTGAATATCATCTGACCAACGACACTTGGGTCGTCCATGGGATCTCCGTGAACACTGCGGCTCCCATTCTGCAGCAATCCTTGCCCACGTATTCGACGACGACTGCTGTATTCTTCGCGCCCATGCCCATGTCATTTTTCTTTGTGTGACTACCCACGATTCAATGTTTAATTCGACCAGGTTCGACTCTGTTTCCCTTGTTGTACACTTGATCAAATCCACCCATGGCTCAATAGAATCGCGTGAGGGATCGTCTGCGCGAACACATATCCTCCCCTTCCCCAGGATCATGCGCATCATTCTTCTTTGGCAGCGTAATCATGTCCCTGCCATTGAGCTGGTCACAACCCAAGTAGCTGTTCCGTAGAGCACTGTCGGTTTCACCACGGTGTCGAACAACTTCGAGCGATCGTGCAGATAATCACATGTTTTGTGAGCTCGTCCGTATACATCATGAACTTTTTCCAGCCAGCAAAAATACGATTGTATAGTTCGGCGTCGTCGGGGCCCGCGAAGGAGAGCTGACGCCCGAGGTAGTTAACATTGCCACTGCAAGATCGCACCTCGATGTCCACTCCACATACTTCCATGGATTTGCGCGACATCCTCCCTGTCCTCTCCGTGAGATTGCTCAGCACCTTTGCTTTGTCTGGGTGCAGCGACAAACCCTCGCAGCAGCGGAAGTAATGAGGTCAGCCAGCATTCGCTTCAAATTCGCACATGACTCCGCAATGAGCAGCACGTCGTCGCCTCGAGGTTCGAGATGTTCGGCCGGTCTCGTCGGCTCTCGGCGGTGTTCTGGCCCCCGGGTGCTCACCAACAGCTGCCCGCCGCCCCAGGGGGTCGGTCGTCTCGCCCGCCTCCCCTGGCCTCCCTGCGCGAGCCTCCCCGTGCTCTCCGTGGGGGGGGGGAGGAGCTCAGAGGAAAGGAGGGCAGGCGGGGGGGGGCTATCACAGATATATAAGTGGAGTGAAAGGGTGCGCCGAATAGACCTCAGGCTCCAGTGGCCCTCGAACAGGTCCAGAAGGGCCCTGCCCCGCGACAAGGCGCTGGGCGAGGCAAGGCGGCCGCCTCTCCCACGTGGGGGAGGGGGGGGTCGGTCTTGTCGCCCGCCGCCCCGAGGCCCTCCCTCCGCCTCCCGGTGCCCGCTATGGGGGGCGAGGGATCTATGGGGGGCGAGGGAGAGGAGGAAAGGAGGACGACAGGGGGGTAACCACCACAGATGGAAAGGGGAAGAAAGGGGCTAGGCGACCGTGCCTCAGGCTCTGGTGGCCCTCTCCAGCTCCTCGTGGTCTCCATGGGGGGGTAGAAGAGGAAAGGTGGACAGGGGGGACGACAGGCTCGAGGTTCGAGGTTTTTGGGCTGTTTCGTCGGCCGTCTTCCAGCCCAGGAATGCTCTCCAACAGCGGCGCCCTCTCCGCCTCCTCGTGCTCTCCGCTTGGGGTGGCAGAAGAGCCCAGGTCTGGGGAGGCGCCGAGAAGTCCTCCTCCATCCGTCCGCCCTCCCTTGCACCCGACGCCTCCCCGTCGCGCCACGGGAAATGCCAATGTGGCGGACCAGGCGCTTCGCTCAGGGAAGAGCAGGAGAACGGGCAGACCAAAAGGTACCGATACCGCTACTCTCCGGACCTCTCCCGGGGCGCGTTCTGACCAGAGCTTCGAGGCGCATCCGACGGTGGCGACGCTGGCCTCCGAAGAGGCCCGAAAAGGAGGGGGAAACGGGCGGAGGGTAGTGGCATGGGTACCTGTTTCCTCCTCTGAGAGGAGGGGGGGGGGAGAGAGAGAGACAGAGAGAAAGAGAGAGAGAGAGAGAGGAGAGAGGTGCGGAGCTCGGGGTGCGGGGCGGCCTCGGCCCGCAGGCGCGGGGGTCCCCAAGAGGCCGAGGCTGGCGGGAGGACCGCAGACCTGAGCGACCCCGCCCCGCCCCCCCCCTCCACACACACACACACACACACACACACACCGACGACTCTCAGGCTCCAGGCCGCTGCTCGCAAGGCGAGGGCGTGGGGCAACCGCCCGCCTCGGACCTCCGACGGCGCGGCCTTCCCGGGCCCGCTGGCCCCTGGAGCTCTCTCTATCGGCCCCTCCCCCGGGGCTGGCGCTTCTCAGCCCGAGCCGCCCCTCGGCGGCGAGCGAGGGGGGGAGGTGAGAGGGGGCGGGCCTCCTCAGAAGGCTCGGAAGTCCGCCGGCCTTCTGAGAAGTGTTCCAAGCCTTCCCCGAAGAGACATTCTGAGAAGGCCTTCTCCTTCTCACTTCCCCCCCGGGAGACATGGCTCCCCGGGCATCCGGCTGCTCCAACTTTCTCGATGCGCAGGCCCCAGAAGTCGGACCCCTTCCCTGGGGCTGGTGTTTCGTCCTGCGTCGTTGTTTGACGGTCCCGAGGCCCGGCCAGCGGCCAAAATCAGCCAGAAAAACCGCCCGTTCCAAATCTTTGTTGGAAATGTTGGAGCTCTGGGCAGGCGCCGCGTGCTTCGAGCCGCCAGAGGCCTGGGCCCCTCCTCAAAGATTAGCTCCTGGACCTCCTCCTCCTCCTCCTCCTCCTCCTTCTCCTCCTCCTCCTCCTCCTCATGAGTTTCGGTGGCCACCAGTGCGCCACCAGTGCGCCACCAGTGCGCCACAAGTGCGCCCTGCCGCAAGCTTTGTGGACAATAACGACCATCAATATGAGTCACTAGACGAACGCATTCCACTACTCGCAACGTAACTGCTCGCAAATGGCCTGGATCCGCCGCGGGGGATGCACGATCCAATACCGCGAGGCAAATACGTGTTTTTCGGACGTCTGCGAGCAGGCACTTTGCGAGTGGTGGAGCGCGCTGAGCGATTCGCGTGGTGGTCGACTCCACTATAGCCAACATGTTTTGCAACAGCGGGCCGCTGCAGTGCTCGACAGGCTGGTCAACGCGCACGTCCGCTGATGCCGTTTGCACGTGCGGTTCCAATGCAAGCCTGTGCGCCCCCCCCCCCGTTCAATCCAAAGCTGAGCGCCTTCGTCGCCGCTTGACGCGGTCAGCACTGCCTCCCTGGGAGGGGGGGGGTCAAAGGAGTCGTTCCCAGAGCGGGCTGCCCTCTCGCACTGCATTTGGCCACGCTGGCACATGAAATGTTCGATGCGCGGGGGCGACGAGGCACAATCTGCGAGGCGCCCGCGCCCACCCTGAGGGGGGCGACGCGCATCGTCAAAATGCGTCTGGGGCGAAGGGAAAGCGACCATCCCGTCATTTTTGCTGACAACACCGGTGGGGACGCCGCCCGAAAACAAAACCTCAATCCTCGATTCCTCGATCCTCGACCTGTGGTGTGAAGAAAGTCGGCCCTGAGGGAAGCGGGCCCTGGACCCCATGGCATTCCCCCAGGACCCGCTCTTCGTGCGGAATCGTTGTGTGGACGGTCCTGGGTCCCGTGGAAGGCCCCTGGAACCCGAAAACTGCCCAAAACATCCGGGACCCGTTTCTTCTGGGCCCGCTCGCTTCCCGGCGAGGCCTCCCCCTCCTCGGCTAGAGCCGCCAGAGTCGGCTACACGCACGGGTGGCCCTGGGTAAAAGTGACCTCTGGTGCGCGGTTTTCTGGGGGCCACGGGATGACCAAACACCGGCGCACGAGACGCTGCTATGGCATCACGTCTGGCGATCGGGGGGAGCCCAATGCGCCCGCACCAAAATTCACTCTGGCGAAAGGTCGCCGTCTTGGGGATATACTGGGCCGTTGTGGAGCGGTCGTGCTGGCCTCTTGGGTCGTCCTGGGACGTCGGAAACTCGAAAATGCGCGACCCCGAAAGACATTGAAACGCAAACGGGAAATCAGTGGCGCTTGCCTCTCGAGGCCCTCTTTGGCAGGCTCCTGGGTCTCTCTTGCGAGGCATCGACGGCCCGCGGGCGCCGCGCCTGACTGCGGCGTGGAGCCCCACGGCGAGGCGCTCCGCCCGGCCAGCGCGGAGGCGCCCAGCTGGGCCGGCGGCGGGGCCCGGCCCGCCGCGGGAGGCACGCTGGAGCCGTCGGCGGCGGAGTAGCCGGCAACGCTGGCGACGGGGCTGGCCTCCGTGAGGGGTTCCAGCGCTGACCCCCTCCCTCTCCCCCCATTCCCCTTCTTCGTTCACGGGTGTATGCAAAAGAGTTGGTTACTGCGTATGTAATATATACATATATATATATGCATATACATACATACATACATACATACATACATACATACATACATACATACATACATACATACATACATACATACATACATACATACATGCATGCATGCATGCATACATACATACATACACATATACATACATACATACATACATGCGTACGTACATACATATATACATACATGCACATATACATATACATGTCCATATACATACACATACATATACATACATATACATGCATACATACATACATACATACATGCATACATACATACGTACATATATACATGCATGCATACATACATATATACACACATGCATACATACATACATACATACATACATACATACATACACACATACATATATACATACAAACATACATACATGCATACATACATACATACATACATACATACATACATGCATGCATGCATGCATACATACATACATACATACATATACATATACATATACATATAAATATACATATACATATACATATACATAAACATATACATACATATACATATATATACATACATATACACACATATACATACATATACATACATACATGCATACAGACATACATACATACATACATACATGCATGCATGCATGCATACATACATACATACGTGCATACATGCATACATGCATGCATGCATGTATGCATACATACATACTAGAACCACGCGCGCGCTTCGCGCGCGCTTAGGTTCTGTCGAGTCACAGACCCAGGAATCGTTGTGAGAAGAAATTGGTGACGCGAAGCGTCGTGGGGGCGTCCTTGGACGTCTGGGGTCTCCTGGGGCCTCTTGAGGGGCCTCCTGGGGGCCTCCTGGCGGCCTCTTGGGGCGGAAGGCTCGAGCTTGCGGTTCGTGGTCCCCCTCTGGGCCCCCTCTTGGGCCCGTCTTGGGGCCCTCTTGGGCCATCTTGGGCGCCTCTTGGGCCGTCTTGGGGCCCTCTTGGGCTGTCCTGGGGGCTTCTTGGGCCGTCTTGGGGCGGTCTTGGGCGCCTCGTGGGCCGTCCTGTAACGTCGGAAAGCCCAAAAAGCAACTTTGTTGAAAAATGTACGTTGTACGAAGGGAATGGGCCAATTTTTGCGTCTAGGGGCCCTCTTGGGACGCATGTTGGAGGCTTCTTGGGGCCTCTTGGGGGCGTCCTTGGACGTCTGGAGGCCATCTTCAGCATCTCGGAGCCCTCTTGGAGGCCTCTTGGAAGTTTCTTGGGCCGTCTTGGGCGCTTCTTGGGCCGTCTTGTCTGACCGGGGAGGCCTCCGGCAAGCCCCGACGAGCCTCCGGGCCCCCCGGGGTGCACATTTGTGGTCGGGGTCCCGGCCCCGGGCCCCCGGACCCGGTGTGGGGGCCTCCTGGCGGCCTCTTGGGGCGGAAGGCTCAAGCTTGCGGTTCGTGGTCCCCCTCTGGGCCCCCTCTTGGGCCCGTCTTGGGGCCCTCTTGGGCCATCTTAGGCGCCTCTTGGGCCGTCTTGGGGCCCTATTGGGCTGTCCTGGGGCCCTCTTGGAAGCTTCTTGGGCCGTCTTGGGGCGGTCTTGGGCGCCTCTTGGGCCGTCCTGTAACGTCGGAAAGCCCAAAAGGCAACTTTGTTGAAAATGTACGTTTTTTACCTAACAGCGAAGACTGATAGGTTTTCTAGTTGACTCAAAAGAGCTCACAGATCACTCCACAGGGGGGTCCGGGCAGGCGTTGGGAGTTGCCGGCCGGGCCTGTGCCGGGCTCGTTTTTCACCAACAGTCACACACTTCGTGCTCGTCGACCTCTCAGAACCCCATTCCCAGGCCACATTCTGAATAACCGGATGCAACAGTCACACACTTGGTGCTCCTTGACCTCCCAGAACTCCATTCCCGGGCCACATTTGAATGCCCGGAGCCAACTGTAGGCCACTTCGTGGTCTTCGAGTTCCCAGAACTCCATTCCCGGGCCACATTTTGGATGCCCGGAGCCAACTGTAGGCCACTTCGTGGTCTTCGAGTTCCCAGAACTCCATTCCCGGGCCACATTTTGAATGCCCGGAGCCAACTGTAGGCCACTTCGTGGTCTTCGAGTTCCCAGAACTCCATTCCTGGGCATGATTTTGAATGCCCGGAGCCAACTGTAGGCCACTTCGTGGTCTTCGAGTTCCCAGAACTCCATTCCTGGGCATGATTTTGAATGCCCGGAGCCAACTGTAGGCCACTTCGTGTTCTTCGAGTTTCCAGAACTCCATTCCCGGGCCACACTTTGAATGCTGAGGCAGGCTGATGCTGAGGCTGAGGCAGGCTGAGGCTGAAGGCAGACTGAGGCTGAGGACGAGGCTGAAGGCAGACTGAGGCTGAGGCTGAAGCAGGCTGAGGCTGAGGCTGAGGCTGAGGCTGAGGCTGATGCTGAGGCTGAGGCTGAGGCTGAGGCTGAGGCTGAGGCTGAGGCAGGCTGAGGCTGAGGCCGAGGCTGAAGGCAGACTGAGGCTGAGGCTGAAGCAGGCTGAGGCTGAGGCTGAGGCAGGCTGAGGCTGAGGCTGAGGCAGGCTGATGCTGAGGCAGGCTGAGGCTGAGGCTGAGGCTGATGCAGGCTGAGGCTGAGGCAGGCTGAGGCTGAGGCCGAGGCTGAAGGCAGACTGAGGCTGAGGCTGCAGGCTGAGGCTGATGCAGGCTGAGGCTGAGGCTGAGGCTGAGGCTGAGGCTGCAGGCTGAGGCTGAGGCTGATGCAGGCTGAGGCTGAGGCCTGAGGCTGAGGCTGAGGCTGAGGCTGAGGCAGGCTGAGGCTGAGGCAGGCTGAGGCTGAGGCCGAGGCGAAGGCAGGCTGAGGCTGAGGCTGAAGCAGGCTGAGGCTGAGGCTGAGGCAGGCTGAGGCTGAGGCTGAGGCTGAGGCAGGCTGATGCTGAGGCAGGCTGTGGCTGAGGCTGAGGCTGATGCAGGCTGAGGCTGAGGCAGGCTGAGGCTGAGGCCGAGGCCGACGGCAGACTGAGGCTGAGGCTGAAGCAGGCTGAGGCTGAGGCTGAGGCAGGCTGAGGCTGAGGCTGAGGCTGAGGCAGGCTGATGCTGAGGCAGGCTGAGGCTGAGGCTGAGGCTGATGCAGGCTGAGGCTGAGGCAGGCTGAGGCTGAGGCCGAGGCTGAAGCAGACTGAGGCTGAGGCTGAAGCAGGCTGAGGCTGAGGCTGCAGGCTGAGGCTGAGGCTGAGGCAGGCTGAGGCTGATGCAGGGTGAGGCTGAGGCAGGCTGAGGCCGAGGCTGAAGGCAGACTGATGTTGAGGCTGAAGCAGGCTGAGGGCGAGGCTGAGGCAGGCTGAGGCTGAGGCAGGCTGAGGCTGAGGCTGAGGCTGTGACTGCGACTGCTGTTGCCACTGCGACTGCCATCGCGAATGCGACCATGACTGCGAGAACAGCAGAATTCTACAACAGGATTCTTATATGAATCTTAAGGGGAATGCTTCCAGATATGCTCCTACACATCGCTGTTAGGTTGCTTTGCCGGGATAATACGAAGGGAATGGGCCAACTTTTGCGTCTAGGGGCCCTCTTGGGCCGCATGTTGGAGGCTTCTTGGGGCCTCTTGGGGGCGTCCTTGGACGTCTGGGGTCTCCTGGGGCCTCTTGAGGGGCCTCCTGGGGGCCTCCTGGCGGCCTCTTGGGGCGGAAGGCTCGAGCTTGCGGTTCGTGGTCCCCCTCTGGGCCCCCTCTTGGGCCCGTCTTGGGGCCCTCTTGGGCCATCTTGGGCGCCTCTTGGGCCGTCTTGGGGCCCTCTTGGGCTGTCCTGGGGCCCTCTTGGAAGCTTCTTGGGCCGTCTTGGGGCGGTCTTGGGCGCCTCTTGGGCCGTCCTGTAACGTCGGAAAGCCCAAAAGACAACTTTGTTGAAAATGTACGTTTTACGAAGGGAATGGGCCAACTTTTGCGTCTAGGGGCCCTCTTGGGACGCATGTTGGAGGCTTCTTGGGGCGTCTTGGGGGCGTCCTTGGACGTCTGGGGTCTCCTGGGGCCTCTTGAGGGGCCTCCTGGGGGCCTCCTGGCGGCCTCTTGGGGCGGAAGGCTCGAGCTTGCGGTTCGTGGTCCCCCTCTGGGCCCCCTCTTGGGCCCGTCTTGGGGCCCTCTTGGGCCATCTTGGGCGCCTCTTGGGCCGTCTTGGGGCCCTCTTGGGCTGTCCTGGGGCCCTCTGGGAAGCTTCTTGGGCCGTCTTGGGGCGGTCTTGGGCGCCTCTTGGGCCGTCCTGTAACGTCGGAAAGCCCAAAAAGCAACTTTGTTGAAAATGTACGTTTTACGAAGGGAATGGGCCAATTTTTTGCGTCTAGGGGCCCTCTTGGGACGCATGTTGGAGGCTTCTTGGGGCCTCTTGGGGGCGTCCTTGGACGTCTGGAGGCCATCTTCAGCATCTCGGAGCCCTCTTGGAGGCCTCTTGGAAGTTTCTTGGGCCGTCTTGTCTGACCGGGGAGGCCTCCGGCAAGCCCCGACGAGCCTCCGGGCCCCCCGGGGCGCACATTTGTGGTCGAGGTCCCGGCCCCGGGCCCCCGGACCCGGTGCGCCGTTATATGTATACATACATAAATGCATGCATGCATGCATGCATACACATGTGGTCGGCCCCCATTGAGATCAGACCTTTTCGCGCCTTCTACCACTCCTTCTTCCGCCTCCTTTTCTGATTATTAGTGGTATTCCTCTCTTTCTCTCTCTGTCTCTCTCTCTCTCTCTCTCTGTCTCTCTCTCTCTCTCTCTCTCTTTCCCTCGCTCTCTAACTCTCTCTCTCTCTCTCTCTTTATCATGTTTTGTTATGTCTCTCTCTCTCTCTCTCTCTCTGTCTTTCTCTTTCTCTTTCTCTGTCTCTGTCTCTTTCTCTCTCTCTCTCTCTCTCTCTCTCTCTCTCTCTCTTACTGACCGTTGAACAAGACTGCGCTTTCCACCTCTTGTAGCTTTTCTGCGAGTCTAGCGGGGGGCGGGTCGCGCAGAGCGTTTCCGCAGCAGTACCTTCAGGCGCGCGAAGAGAATCAGTCACGGAACATTGCTACTTTCTAAGATTCCGAACACACCCGCCAGCAAACACTGATATGTTCCAAGCTTTATAAGATTTCTCAAATTTCCGCAACCATCCCCAGCCGGGCGCGCAAGGTCGCGGGAGTCTTAGAAACATTTCTAGAAATCTTAAACAATAGCAGCATTTGCTGGCCAGCTGCCTGCGGAAACCTTGTAGCGTTTGGCGGCCAGGTGCCTTCAGGGTCTTCAATAATTGTAGCGTTTGGTTGTCATTATGTGTTGCTGAGTGCACGTGACTACCCTGCACGCGCACACAACAGCGGGCCACTCAGGACTCGTCGACTGCGTCGGCCTCGCCGTCACAATCACAGTCAGACTTCGCATCGTCTTGCAGCGTAGTCGTACTCGGAGTAGTTGTAAGAGGTGTAAGAATAGTAGGGTAGTAGCAGTAGTAGTAGTAGCACTAGTAGTAGTAGTAGTAGTAGTAATACTAGTAGTAGCAGTAGTAGTAGTAGTCAGTAGTGGTGGTGGTAGTAGTAGTAGTAGTAGTAGTAGCACGAGTAGAAGTAGTAGTAGTAGTTGTAGCAATCGTAGGACTATTAATATTAGTAGTAGTCGTAGGAATCGTAGTAGTCGTAGCAGGAGTAACAATAGTAGTAGTGGTAGTAGTAGTAGTAGTAGTAGTAGTAGTAGTAGTTGTTGTTGTTGTAGCTGTAGTACTAGTAGTAGCAGTAGTAGTAGTAGTAGTAGTAGTAGTAGTAGTTAGTAGTCCTGTAGTAGTAGTAGTAGTAGTAGTAGTAGTAGTAGTAGCATTAAAAGTAGCAGTAATAGTAGTCATCGTAGTAGTAGTAGTAGTAGTAGTAGTAGTAGTCGTCGTCAGAGTAGTAGTAGTAGTAGTAGTAGTAATAGTAGTAGTAGTAGTAGTAGTACGTCAGAGTAGTAGTAGTAGTAGTAGTAGTAGTAATAATAAATGATAGTAGTCGTACTAATAGTAATAGTAGTAATAATAAAAAATAGTAATAGTAGAAGTCGTAGTAAGGGGCCTCCTGGATGGGGTTCGTGTAGATGGAATCGGAGGATACATCGCGATACATCAGCGATACATCAGCGATACATCGGCGATACATCAGCGATACATCGCCGATGCACCCGCGACGTCAGCGATGCATCAGCAACGTCGACGTGGAGAAAATCGGGCTCCATATCGAGCCGCATCGCCGATGCATCGACGACTCGGAACGATCCTCCGACCCCATGTACTCCGACCTCATCTGGGAGGCCCAGAGTTGCGTGATCCCTCTCCTGGGATGCAGGAACGAACGACGGTTCGCACAACTTGGCCTCTTCGTGCACACTCCATCTGCTCCCCATCCCCGGTCCACCGCCCTCGCCAGAAAGATAACAAGGAGGAGGAGGACGAGGAGGAGGAAGAGATGTAGGAAGAGGAGGACGAGGAAGAGGAGGAGGAGGACGAAGAGGAGGAGGAGGAGGAGGACGAGGAGCAGGAGGAGGAGGACCAGGAGGAGGAGGACGAGGAGGAGGACGAGGAGGAAGAGAAAGGTGTAAGAAGTATGAGGTAGTGCCCAAGACCAAGACCAGATGCCTTTGTTGAGAGCTTCTTGACTTGTAGTGTGAGGAGAACTGCGGACCTACAAAACAGATGGTGGTAGCCTGCGTAAGAGGCAGTGGTAGGAAGAGGAGGGGCGAGGGAGAGGGAAGAGGGAGGTGGGAAGAGCGAGGACGGAGGACGAGAGTGGACAAACATCACAGCACAGGTAAGACGAGGACCTGGCAGTTCCTGGCACGGTGGAGAAGAGTCGGAGGCGAGGGGGGGGAATCGGGGTGGAACGGAGGGACCCCAACCGGGAACTCGGCTGGGTGTCGGGTTCGTGTCGTGCATGCGGGCGAGGCGAAGCTGCGTGGGCGGGCCAGACGAACGAACCCTCCTCTGGCCAGGGCGCGGCGAGGAGAGAAGTCCGCCCACCCCGGCCACGTGGCGGGCGGGTGCCCAGGGTGTCCCGCCGTGGCGTCCAGATGGTGTGCTGTGGTGTCCCATGGTGTCCCGTGGTGTCCCGTGATGGTGCCCCGTGGTGTCCCGTAGTGTGCTGTGGTGCCCCGCGGTGTCCCGTGGTGCCCCGTGAGATGCAAAGTGAGATCGATAGTGAGATAGATAGTGAGGTCGATAGTGGGGGATCGACAGTGGGATCCATAGTGAGTCCATCGTGGGATCAATAGTGGAATCGATAGTGAGATCGATGGTGAGATCGATCGTGAGATCGAAAGTGAGAACGATAGTGAGATTGATAGTGGATCGATAGTGAGATCGATAGATAGATCGAGAGTAAAATCGAGAGTGCGATCGATGGTGAGGTCGGATGCAAGGTTGATTGTGAGATCGATGGTGAGGTTGATGATAAGATCGATTGCGAGAGGGATAGTGAGGTCCACTGTAAGGTCGATGGTGAGATCGATTATGCGATTGATGCTGATACCGATAGTGCGATCGATAGTGAGATCGATAGCGAGATCGATCGAGTAAAACGTTGGTTCCTCCCCCCCGAACGTCCTTATCACCCGAAGGGTGGTCGTATAGACTATAGACAAGAAAGAAGGGGAGGCATAAGACGGGCAGGAGCAGGGAGGTTGAACAGCAGGAGCAGAAGCAGCAACAGCAGCAGGAGCAGCAGCGGGAGCAGCAACAGGAGCAGCAGGAGACGGGGCATGCGGTGGAGGACGACGGTGACGACGACAACGACGACGACGACGACAACGACGAACGGCGGCGGCGGCGGTGGCGGCAGCGGCGGCGGCGGCGGCGATGGCGGCGACAGCGATGACGACGAGGCCGAGACCGCAGGCCAGCGCGGTGCGCGCGGGGGGCGGGCCCGCCTGGAGCTTGTCCAGCAGGCGCCTCCGGCGCACCGCCGAGGGGGGAGGGCGGGGGGGGGCAGGGGGCAAAGTGGG